TGATATATAAAAAAACAAATTGTCAAAAAATGATTTACATATGTTTTTTAAGATGTTTAAGTGAATACACGTAAAGATTAGGAGAAGAAAAAAAAAAATGTGTCGAAGATAAGTAGAAAATAAAATACATTTCAAAGAAATACAATCTCATGAATAGGAAAAGTAGAAGTTAAGAAAAACAAATTTTACCTACTCGCAATGCTTTGTGAGTGGTGATGGAAATTCACGGTCAATAAAGAATAAAAAAAATTATGTATAAAGCAAATTAAAGCCTTATGACATAATATATATTTAGCCAGCGTCTGATTGGATTGTAAAGAGGAAATGGAATAAGAAGGTTTTAAATGTGGATAAGGATGGTGCATGGCGGATTTTTACTTGGAAAGAATTCCAGAATGCATTGGAACGGACAACAAAGGAATGTTTAAATGAGGCAGATCTGTGGAAAGGGGTGTAAAGGTCAGAAGGTTTTCGTAAAGGAAAGAAGTGTAAAGGAATAGTTCTGAGTTTATTGTAGAAATTTTAATTAATCATGTTCTTGAAAAAAAAAGTTGTATTAAATGGAAAATAAGATGCAGTGGGCTTAGATTACAGAATTATTTTAATTTGAAGGAATTTTTCTGATTTTTATATTTATTTAGTTCGAGCAGCACTGCCTTTTATAATCAAGATTTTTTAAATTTAATTTTTGGCGGAATGAATTTCATTTAAAAAACTTATCAAAAAACGTTTTGTAAATAAAAGTTCTATAAAAATCTTTATTAAAACGTTCTAGTTCCAAAAGAATAATAAAATAATCGGAAAGGAAAATTTATATCGGAACTGATGTATTATTTATTAATTAACCAAAAATAAAATTAACTTTGTTATCTGCAAATTTGTGTCTTGTCGTTTAAGAATTGTTGCCAGTAAATTCATGTTGCAAGTCAATCTTTGGAATAAATTATTTTTATATTCTTGCGTCTAAAATTATTGGGATGTTACTGTCCTGATGAGTGTGGCTTAAATGCGAGAGCAAGACGAGTCTTGGTCTTGCGCACTCAGTCTTGGTCCTGGTCTTGGTCTTACGCTAGAGTCTTGCAGTTACCTATTAGCATATTACCATAAAGATATTACTGTAATTTTTTAGATTGTGGATACTTAACTAAGCCCGAATGAAAAATTGGAAGAGCTAAATGCAAAAATAAACTGGTTATATCAATTTATTTGCATATAGTAACTAAAATTGTCAAGTATTAGTAACTATTTTGCCTCAATTTTATTCACAAAAATGATTTTTTTTTTACCAGTCTTGGCCTTGGTCCTGCAACAGTCTGGCGGTCCTAGTCTTGGTTTTGCAAAGTGCAGGACCAAGACCGATTTTGGGAAACACTAGTCCTGATACATTATTTCATTTGCGAGATAGTGTTTCAATTCTCCTCTGGAACTCTTTCGACTGAAAATACTGAATTTTTATAATGTTGGAGGTTTTAGCAGAAATTCACAGTTCTATATCTTTATGACTAAATAGGTTTTAGTAAAACCTTGTTCAGGATGAGTTTGTCAGTCAAAAATTATTTTTGAACGTCTGTCAAGTAGCCTGGATAAAAGCCGCATCGTCTGTTTAATTCCATTCGTCCATGTATAATTTTTTCCTCTATATTAATCATCTTTCAAGAAGGAAATCGGAAAATTTAAAATTTCTTTTCCAGTTCTGGTAATTATTCTAAGAATACCACTAATATCACAAACAAGTACATCGTAATGCGGTTTAACTAATTAAATCTAATACATAAAAGTAGTTGTTCGACCAAACATGTTAGAAAATAAAGATTGTATCGTGGACGGGGTAGTATTACACAAGTTGGCCAAACTCCTACACAATAACTGCGAGCCTAACAAGATAAGCCCTCCACAACTTGTAACTTGTATCAACAGGCATGGCGATGTGAAATTGTTTCGTTACTTTTATGGAAGTTTCCAAAATAATTTATTAACCTATATCACGTTCTCACAGAAGAAATATACAACGAAAGAAAGATTCAAGCAATTACAAACATTCGTTTACACGCGAGTGTGTATTCCATTTGTAAACCATAAATTTTTGAATGGTTTTGTTAAATGAACATCAATATAAATATTGATTCTTTAGCACATAAGCACATCAAAAAATAAGTTATTTTCGTCTTTAAATTAATTAATGTAAACAACTATTCTTCTAGCCTCTTTGGTAAAATTAATTTGCTAGTTGCCGTTTTCGTCATATTCAGCTTTTTGCAGATATTTCCATTCAACCAATTATGCCTTACATTCACCCGTAGATCAGATTCAACGAAATACTAATTTATTTGCATTATACACAAATTTTCTAGACGATTCGTGGCCTTGGTTTGAGAAGGTTCTAACTTACAAATTTGGGCAAATTGAGTTTACTGATTGAAAAGAGTCCCACACACTTTATTCAATTCTACTTAGGGATGACCACTGATAGGCGATAATAACGAAATATCAATATTTTCTTCTACTACGCTCTATATTCTATATGAAACAGGAAAGACGAGTATAATTTATTTTTAACCATAAGATTCATATATAATTCCTAGCGCTTTATGATAGTTTTAGTTTATAATTTAAAATATCGAAGGGAATATATCGATATTTCGATAATCCCGGCTATCGATGACCATCTCTACTATGGGCTCAGATTTCTTAGATTACACTTAGCGCTGGTATGTGGAAACTTTGTCCTGCGTTGAGTTGGAGTAAAACACGTCGATTGTTATTTTCTATATGGATCACATCACCTACTTATTTAACCATTAGCTGTTAAAAAATAGCTTTCCTGAACAACAACTGAAACTGAGAACCTATGACCGTTCATGGGTTGAAGAATAACCTTCAAAAACTGTAAGTTCTTGATCCAAAAATAAAAAATAAAAATAAAAATGCAAGTAAAATACTTGTAATAAAATACAAATCAGCATACTTTTAAGTAAAAATCTATTTTTATAGTATAAGTATGATTTTTTAAAGTCTAATTATGCTTAGAACAAAATGACTTTCTTGATTTTATAATTGCTATAATTAAGTTCTGCTGTGGTGGTAGATGACCGTCTTGTTGCCAAAGAACTTGTCCGGATGTTTAGGTACAACAATGCTACCTATAGACATTATCCAACCAAGAATAGGACATTGTTTCCAATTTAGCCCAATCCAGATTCCATAATAAACTTCAGAACCATCCGAATCCTCTCGTCTCTAACCTTGCTTCCTCTTCTATACCTGATAACCCTCTGAGGCGTCTGAAAAGAAGATGGCCTCGAGATATCCTATTGTATATACATTTTGTTTTTAGAACGCTACCAGCGGGTAGTTTCTCAACAAGTGATTTCATGTTATTATTTTCTGTTATCAAATTTACTAAGTGTATTTTATTTATTAATATAATTGTAAATATCATGAATAAAAAATAAAAAAAATAAGACGTAGGGGGCTTAAATACAAAAGAAAACCATTTGCCGTAGCTGACAGTGGTTCATATCTTTGAGAATTGTGTTTTTTACATCAGAGAATTAAACAAAAGGGGAATAACAGAAAATACATTAACTACTTTCAGAAATGATGAAAAAATCTTGAGTGAAGTCATTTGTTTCTCTCTGATAAAGGAATCTTTAAAAATCTCTAAAACTCTCACACGAGACTCCCCCTCCCCTTTTTTTTCTACTTAACTTGCTAATTTTAATACCTTTAAATAACTTTAAAATGAACGTGGATTTTACGTCTTTTTAATTTGATTTAATTTCTATTATTCACAACCAGCAGATATAATTATATATAATCATTACGGCGCTGATAACCAATAGGTTTTACGGCTTGACCATACAACAACCAACCTATCAACCCAAAAATGAAAGTATTGGCAAACGTGAAATGATTAAAGTGGCAAACGAACTGATTATGGGGAAAACGGAAACTATGTTCTCATACAGTCAAATAAATTTTAAAATTAATGAAATAATTTACTATTTCAATAGATATTGTGTTGGGAGATTGTCAGCGTCTTCGAAAGCATCAAAGCTGATAATCACATATTTTCTATAAGATAATTTACAATCCATAATGTTAATTGTTGTTATTTTTCACAAGAAATTAGTCGAGGGTGAAGTCAAAAAATTACTATATTATATAATAGTATGTTTTATTATATTATCAACTATCCCCGAAACGTTGGGCAATATAATTAAACATACTATTATATAATATAGTATTTTTTTGACAGCATCCCGAATAATTTCTTGTGAAATTAAATCCACGGTCAACTATATCCATATTATTATTAATTGCTGTTAGTATTATTGTTAAGTATTGATGTTATCTTCGATTAGTTTCCTTTCCTGTTCTGATGATGCCTGAACTGACGAAACGTTGATGCGTTTTTTTATTCTTAAGCTTTATTTTGGAGAAATAAGGCTGTGTGGCTGTTATGTTATTATATTAGATTAATTGGTTACAGTAAAATAAATAAATAATATATTTTTTTGTGAGATTCAAATATATAAATATACATGATCGATTCATATGATTTAATCTAAAGCGCTGTGAATAAAAATTAAATGCGGAATTTATCAACAAAAATAAAATGTATTAATGTTGAGATCAAGTGGATTCATTGTTAAAGTAAACATGAATTTCTCTGATTTGTTTCAGATTTCGGCTCTATATAATTTGTTTCTTATTCCTGACTTTGGAGGTCCCATGTTCCATGGATACGTCCAAACAATCCTCAAACTATTACTTAATGACCCGAAGTCTTAAGAGAAAATTCATCAATATGTTTGAAAAATTGCGATTCAACCACTTAGTCCGTCTTCAGTGAAAGATCAACGTGTACCAGTTGGTCGGTTTAAACTTATTATTTAGACTATTCCCCACAAATAAATATAATAAATCACATCTTCCATTTTATTTCGCTACAATCATAGCATTAACAATTAATATAATTATATTGAAGTGGAGCTGACCGAGCCAAGAAGTAAAAGAAACTGGACGGAACCCGTGAGGAAAAACACCCTCTTGCTCAAGGCGAGGCGGCATCCGGGTCGATAGCGAGTAGATGGATTGCTGGCCATTACCCGACCAATCTCAGCAACAGCTTCTTCCATCATTGATAATCAACCCTTGCTCTTCGCCTCCTTCGCCCGAAATGGAGTACTTCGAGGGCCCTTACAGTCGGCACTTGACACTCTCATAAAAGGGCTGCCTCCAATCAGGACAACTATTCAAGACTCGACAGCTTCGTCTATAGGAAACCCATCATCATGAACGGAAGAACATCTGAAGTTCAATTTACACATTTGACGAACTATAGGAAACAGCAACGTCTAATTGGATTGTTTTTCTAGGTTAATGTTTGTGACCGTTTCATCTGCTGTCAGTTTTTTTCAAGAGAAATCAAAGTGTTGCTTTTACATATTAGTTTAAGGTTTGAGAGAGATTGTTTTGATGGTTCCTGGTACGATTTAGATTTTTTTTTCATCCACCATCTCTGACGAATCCTACACCATCTTTAATTTTCTTTTTGTTTCTTCTGTTTATTTTTAAAATTGCAAAATGTTAGACCGAATGTCGACCATGTTTGTCTTTCTGAAAATACAGAAACGTGCTAACACATTTTTTCTTGTGTATTTTTATTTTCATATGTTAATGTTTCCGGTATATTTTTAAAATCCGGCTGAAACAAGTCCTAGCTTTCCATCTATAAGGAGTTATTGTACTTTCTCCATCTATAGGAGTAAATTATAGAATATGCAATTGTTACAATAAACATTGATAAATCCTAACCTATTGGACGAAATCCTATTTTTTTAAATTTAAAGATCTGAACTAATGCAACGATGACTAAAGAAATCCAAATATATAATACTACTTGATGACTGGCCCACATACAAAAGTTTGTACATATGAGTTTGTTGGAGCAAACCCGTTTACGCAGTAGGGAAGAAAATTATACAGTACATTATTGCTTAAGCTTCATTATGAGTTTTATGAGCTAAGTTTCTATAAAAACAATTGTTTGCTTTCGTTTTGTTTAATTTGACTTATTCTTTAAAAAATCCTTTAAAAAGTATATAACAATATTTAAATCGAACGGCAAGACCGATTTATTAAGTTAATATTTTAAGTTTAACAGTCCAAATTACACAGCGAGATCTCGTGATCGTGTGATACGGATATAAATAAAACTGCAAGACTCAATACAATAATCACTGAAGAAGTTTTAACTTTCTCAAATCGTAGCTAGATTAAAAATGGTATTTTGATTACAGATATAGTTAAGATAATTTAATTAAATTTACTCATAATTATTTCGAACTCTAAAATAGTTTTGTTTTTTTATTGAACTGTAGACAAAATATTATCATATACTAGGCATAATAAAACATGTCTAGATTTAAATAATAATATTCTATAAAACTTAGTAAACAATTTAAAATTTAAACTTCCGTAGATCTGCAGTTATTACAGAGATGCTTCCTGTAGTACAGACAATATTTCTTATATTAAAAGAATTTCTTCAGCATTTAGGTATTATTATTTCAGATGTTTGAAAATGTCTTAAAAACCGTAACGAAAATAACCTACTTTAAACAATTATCCGAAATAGATCACGTTATCTATGAAGTGGCCCTCAAAAGAAGCGAATATAAACAATTTAATAGAATATCCATATTTTCCTTATAAAAATTACTTTTACTTATAAGCGGTTATTCATCCGAAATATTTTGAATGAACAGTCCTAAAACTAAGGCCGAAACGTTGGCATACAGTAAATATATTTTTTCTTTTACTTCACTGATTGCAATCTCAACTAATTTTTTAACTATAAAAAATAAAATATTTTTAATACCATAATGAAGAAAATGCTATGCTATTTTCGTTATCGAGGTTGATCTAAATAATTTTCAAAAGTTATGCTAAAAATCATAAAAATGAAATTTATAGAACATTTATATTGGCTCTAGTCCCCTCTGCGCGTGCGGTGATGGTGTACAGAATGTGGAACATATCCTACAAACATGCATGGCCTATTTCCAGTAAAGGAAGATGATCGGGCCCTCTCCAGCTGGATTGGAAAGGAAATTATATGGAAGCCTGGAAGACCTGGAGAGGACAATCGAATTCTTCATTTTAGTTTCTGATCTAGTCATATAAGGAAGAACATTTATATCTTTAATTTTTAAAACAATAAAATAAGATAAATATAGCAAACGCAGAATCTATTAAGTTTAATAATTATGCACATTCGTTAGGAAGTATCTATGACAGTTTGAAAAATGTTTTTGAACTTCAATTTTTTCATAACTCAACTTACGCTAAATGCGGCTCAAATAACTTCATTGAGAATAGCGACAAAAAAACGTGACTGATAAGAAATAAAACAAAGGACGATTAGGAGACCAAACATTTAAGTATATGCGCTATCTTTGTATGAAAAATGACAAAAAAATATCTCTACGTAGAGGAAACGATTTTTTTTTATCTCACAAGGCGAGGTCACGGACGTGGGGTTACCGATTTCGATGAAACTTTTTATGGTGATACCAGGTCAACAAATATTAGACCCATGTCCGAGCGTTCTTGCCAATGCGCCAAGGAGCCGAGAAAAAAAAAAATTATATTTTTATGTTATTGTTTTCTGACCTCTCTCTGAATGAATTTATTCTTCATAATTTTGTTTCCTGAAATTTCGGGAGGATAGGACTATTTTTCGCATGAGAAGGATAAGAATATCTTCAAAATGAGTGGCCAATCATTGGATTTGGTGACCAATTGACGAAGTTATGGCGTACCGACAAAAAACACATTTTAGAAATAATATATAAGATAGATGTTTTAGTCCGTCGTACAGACCCCTTCCCTTCTCATCGAATTATTAACATCCGTCTGAAACTTGGTAAATAGCTTCATCTCATTGTAGCCTACAACTATTTTATTTACGAAAACTCTAGGAATTAGGGCGTTTTCAATCTAGACGGGGGCAAACTTTGTCTATTTAATTAGCTAATAAGAACTCGTAAATACTCATTTGCTTTATTATTGGATTGTAAAATACTTTTATCACAAAATCGAGAAAAAAGGTGGCCTTCAAAAATATTGAGCCGTTTGGCGTGACCCACAACCCCAAATTTTCAAAATAATTATATAGGACTAACGGCCCAATATTTTTGTTGGCCATCTTTTTTCTCGATTTTGTGAATTATTATTAAATTATCTTACGATCAAAGTAGAAAGCAAACGGGTATTTACGAGTACCTAACTAATTAAATAGACAAAATTTGCCGATCTCTAGATTGAAAACGTCCCAATTCCAAGAGTTTTCGTAAATAAAATAGTTGTAGGATACGATCAGATGAAACTATTTACGAAGTTTGAGGCGGATGTTAATAATTCGTTAAAAAGGGGTCTGTACCACGGACTATTTAGACAGTAGTAGGATTTTTATTTATGGATATACTTGAAAAATCTGAACAAAACAATTGGATATATTACAATTCGTATACATTAAACATGAGAGGAAGAAGGAGGGATATTCTTCATAACATATGTACATTTTTGGAATTTTTTCAGCTAAAACTGAATAATTTCAGCTAAATTGAAATATACTTTAGATTCCTTAGTTTATACAATCTCCAAATATAAATAAAACGTTTTCACAGTCTGACTACAAAAACATTCTCAATAAAATATATTTACATATGTACTTCTTTAATATATTTTTCCTTTAGTTGTTATTTTTATTAGTTTAAGTTCTTTTGTTTATATACATTTACTTTTATTATTATTAGTTTCTGTATTATTTATTTTTATTCATTGTAAATAGAATGTGAATGTGCTCTCTGAACAGTATTATAAATGTCCTTAATTGTGACAGATTTTAATATTTCTGAGTAAATAAATAATTGCTATAAAAATATATATATTTTTCCGATCCTATTGCAGAATATTTATAAGAAAATACGTGAAAATGGAGGTGTTCACGTGAAAGCTGAATGAATAAAAAATCCCAAGGATATGTTTCTATATTCATATTACTGAATATGAATAAAAATTCAAATAATCGGAATATTTAAGTCGTGATAGTTACGTACCTACTCACAGGCCTTAATTTAGCCGGCTGGTCGACTTTTCTCAATCGATTTAAGTTAACATATTTTATTAATTATTTCATATTGTTTATTTGTTATCAATTTTAATTTTTTTTTACTTCAAATTACTGAGGAAATATTCTGGCTGTTCAACCTTTTTTAGGGGGAGGGGACGATCAACCCCCTTAACCTTCTCCCCGAAGTCTGAACCTGTGAAATGCAGTGATATTAAAATTTAAAATGGAATATAAGGATTAATTCAATAATTTATTAACACTAAGATGTATCAACATCAAACCATTATCAACAGTCAATATATATATTAACGTACTAGTATAATATATTCATAACTAAATAATTACCTAAATATTGATGAAGTGTTCGGAGGTAAGGTCATCATTCAAGGTGAAGCATCTAATTTATCATAATCTTATTACTTAATATTATAATATAAACAAAATGTAATGCGGTAACATAGATCCATCAAGAGCGATGGATTTTGATGAATGAGGTTTCAAACGAAAGAAAAATGATGAATCCCAATTTCGAACCTTTAATTCCTACGATAGTCTATATAAGTATTACGTGTTTTTATTTTAAATTATTTTATTTTATAATTGTGGGTTGATGGTTGACCGTAGTGATCAGTCAGTTATTTTGACTGATCATCCCAACCATCCTTCTCTTCATTATTTTATTTATTGTATATACCTTTTGATTATTATTCAGTTATTTTCCTTCTGTTTATTTATTTTTTATTTTTTTTTTGTACATATTGTATGCATGTTATCTTCCCTCCGTATGACCTATGCCCATGTGACAAATTGTAATATTATTCAATAAATAAAAAAAATAAAATAAAAAATCCTACAACTTAAATTGAAAAAAATGTTGAGGTTTTAAATAACAGATGATTTCAAGAGTAGACGGATCGTGGCGAAATATATATGTTTTTTTTAAACACTCCATCTAGGACAAGATCTAGTATATGTTCTTTAGAACTATACGAGACCCTA